CAGTCTTACCTTAGGTGCCTCCTGCCCCATGCGAAGTCCTCTGTGCTCCCTCAGAGAAGATGGCAAAGCAACTAAAGAATCACAGCATTCCTTCAAAAAAATGTTTTCAAAGACTGCATATGGCACTTCTGTGTGAGGGAATTTAGAGCTAAAAAATGTACAAAGCACTCCACAAAGTAGAAAAATCAGTCCTGTACACCCCTATGGCTGCAACAGAGAAGAGCAAACAGAATAGCAGCAAAGCATAAACATTTTAACCAAAATCATTCCCTGCAATGTATGTAGAGAACAGATGTGAACTAGGATTGCTATGAAAAGGTATCACCATGACCATGAGTATTCACATTACCCCAAAAGCATTTATAATTGATTTCAGAATCTAAATCTTGTAAAAATTTGCTTACGTGAGTAGTTGTATTCTTCCATAAGCTATTTGGCCCATTATAGCCAAAAATGCCAAGTACCAATATCCCTTGCTCACTTGAGAAGGACTGGGAGTAATTCCTTCTCTCTTCAGTAGCATTACTGATGGAAACATTTTTAATTCTTAACCTGGTTCAAAGACACCAATGAATATAATAACATTTATAGTCAGATCAGTAAATAGTTCTCTGTATTGTAGCAGAATAGCTACATCCAGTGCAGTATGCTTCAGGTAGAAGGAAGATAGTGAGATATTTCAATTAATTTATCTATGGATTGCAAAAACTGATGGTAATCTTGAAGAAAAATTAAGAATACATGCACAATACTCAGGTCTGAAGAAGAGATTCCACTGAAATAGTCATGTTCTTGTGATCAAGAAAAAATTACTTATCGTATCAGCTGGACAGGTCTTTTCCTGTAGTTTTCAGACCTTGATGTTTTATTGACCAAACTCCTTGCTTTAGACTTGAGCTCATGTTCTCCGAGGAAATACAAGTGGTAATTATGCAAGTCTTTCCTTCCCTGTCATAGGCAACATTCACAAGGGAAATTTACAACCTTCAGCTTTCAGATACGGAGACCGGTTGTTTAACTTCAGTGAGAATAACTCTGACATGGGGAAAAGCAACAGAATTGGAACAAATCCTCTAGGAATGGCTACCTGGACAGCTCTGGGAGTTAGTTATTATGGTGTTTTTTTTCCTCTGCTTCTTTTTGCCTGCAGTAACCCCGACTGAAAGATTGGTAATAATTTATTTTTTTTAGAAAACAGATTCCTTAGATATAATGCATTTTACTCCCTGAGGCAATAGCAAATATATCTATAGCAGTAGAAAACTAACCTATAGACTGACTGAATGATACTTATTCAAACGGAAAAAATACCATAAGTGACTGCAATTTAGAGACACTATAATGACTTATGAGTTGGTAGGAATAGAGTGCTGACCTAAAGTCAGGAAAACTATAAACAAAATACATTGTAAATGAACTTCAGTATGAAACTTAAGATACTTTTTTATCACAAAGCATTCAAAAAGTTAGGCAATTTGTTCATCAGAATTACATTCAGCTCAAATTCTGATATATAGAGGAAATAGTCTGGCCCCATGCTCCTGAAAATGTACACAATTGCTCTACAAAGAAGCAACTGGGGTACAATCAGAAACTTACTTTTAATCAATAGTTTTTCCATTCACTTCAGTAAAGTTTGGATTAGTTCCTTAATGCACACCCTTATCATGACTGACAACAATCCTGCCTTCACACGTTTGATTGATTTAAGACTGGAGAAGGTACAGAGGGCGGGAGAGTTATGCACAAGGAATACAGCTGGTCCATCATGATTGCATTTCTGTGACCCTTAGTGGATTGTAATAAGGATCTTCTTATTAAAACAAAACAAAACAAAATAAAACTGCAAGAGCTCCAGGGCAGATCTGTGTTCTCTTTTGGCCTGTGTTAACCTCTAACCAAAATCTGGCCATTTAAAAAAAAATGTACTTCAGCTGTTTTTCTTTATTTTTAGAAGTTTAAAATGAAATATAAAGCCCATAATAAAATGCATATGAGGACACAAATCAATAGACTTGAGAACTATGTTAAGAACTACCCAACCTCATAGGTCTTCATTAACAAGGGTGTTCTCATGAAATTCAGAAAATGCTTTTACTCGCTTGTGTGCATGTTGTTGTTCCTGATGTTATTTATTTCTATGGTAACCAAAGCAGTAAATACAGCAATATTAGACAACAATAATCAAGAAAAAAAAACTTATTGCAAAAGAAGACAACTAAGAGCCAAAACAGAGGTGTTTAGATGATGGTGTAATTTGCTATAATAACTGTTTAGCCACATATTTGGCAAGCCCTGGATAACTCACTTATGAGTAATGCATTTGTCCAAATTACATTCAAATAAAAAATAGTTACCATGCTACATTATCATCCATTCTGCACAGATATTTCCTTTCTATCGATTTTCCCATGACAAGAAGACTTCTGACTGAACTCAGGTTAACTCTGGATTGGTTCTTATTTCTCTCGCGCAGCCCCTCGAAAGCTGGTTAGGTGATGTGGAGCCACACATCATCAGTCCTTCGCTATCTGGAGCTATCTGACTTCCTCACGCAGCCTCCCACTCGCCTCTCCGCTGTCTGCTCCATCTGGAGGGAACTGGCTGCTCTCCTCCAGCCCCGGCTCCCCGAGCGCGAGGCAGCCAGCAGCTGCCAGAACATCTGCTGTCTCCTGGCCTCGCTGGGGTGAGTACCAAAAAGCATGGCCTTTTTAAAGTTGGATAGTCGCCTCCATTAGACACTGGATGAGTTCAAAGTTCTTGGATTTGTCCTGAGACTCGTAGCTACGTGGGAATATATGGTATAACTGTCTGTGACACAAATGCAAGTGCACCTTTCAAAGGGATACGTGCGTCGTCTTTAGGATGCACTGGCATTTTGCCTGCTCTTCCCCTGCATCTGCGGTGATCTGCTTTTAGAAGAGTCTCATTCTGAAGAAAGAGTCGTTTTGAAGAGCAGGGAGTGGAAGGAGTGTAAAACCAAACAAAATCAGTCCTTGATTCTCAATTGCATCCATCCAGGGTGGGCTTCTCAACAGGGCTACTGCTGCATCAGTGCCTCCAGGCCATATGAAATCTGTAGTGGTGCGTCATGGGCTACTCCTACTGAAGGCCAGGGTTGCCTCTTCTTTGAAAAGGTGCATTTAAAAAAAGAGGTGTCTTGTCTGAAAAGCTAGAAGCATGAAATAACGTCACTCTAATCTCAGAGGAGGAAAATCACAGGAGCCCCACATCAGCTGTCCTTTTCTTATATGGGTCAAATCATGCCCTGGCAACGTGCAGGGCTCCCACTGACTTCATAATGGGAAATGTATTACTTATTTAGAGCTGGCTTGGCTTTACTTAGAATGATTTAATACATTAGTTATTAAACATTTCGTGTTTTGGGGAAGCAATATCAACAGGTGAAACAGAGTCATGCAGTTCTTTGAGCCTCTGTTTTGTACTTTCTGACAGGTTTCCACACAGGGCAGGACACAGTATGCATAATTACTGTGGCTCTTCCAGGATCAAATCCTGGAACTGGAGCACAGTGTGAACAACCAGGAGATGCAGTAGGTGTTCTGCAATTGGCTTTATCCAACTCATGCTGGCACGGAGCTGTTTGAGGCTCAGAGTGTGTCTGAACTGACATGTTGGCTTGAAACGCAAGCTGACACATGGCTTCATCCCCTGAATGTCCCCCACTGCTTATAGTTTTGCTTGCTCAAACCTCAAGCTACTTTGGCTTAAGTCTGGAGTGAACAAACAGGCTCTCTTAGAAAGAAACCTCAAGCTCAGAAGAGGTTGACCCTTATTCAGGCTGTGTCCCATAGGGCTGGAGGAGATCTTGGCTGGTTCCTGCGGCCGGAGCTGCCCCCTGGGGAACTCCTCTCCCCTGAGGCACAAACACACTGGTCCTGCCCCTTCTCCTCGGGCACAGACAGCCCCTTTCTATAGAGGAAAGAGGGGGACTCCTTGCTGAAAGCAACCTTACAGAAAAAGGGGCTCAAGAGCCTTTTACAGTTTCCCCAAATCCACCATCCTCCTCTATATCCTCAGCAGAAGGCGATGGCGCATAGTGTCCCCTTCACCACGCAGTGAGGCAGGAGCTGCCTTTAAAGCAGGAGGTGATTAATGCTGAAAATAGAATAAAAGTGTGTTTCCAGTGGAGATGGAGAGTCCCCTTAATACAGGCGCTGACTGGATATAGAACAAGACCATTCTGAAAAATTATGCAGGTCTAGAAAGAAGATAGAAGCAACTGCTACTCAATTTGTAGTATTGCAATTCAAAGCTAAGTAGGTGTAAGTAGAATACACAATAAATGTATATTTAGCTGTAGTTAAAAGTGAAACTTAATATCCTATGTTAGTACATAGAACACTCTTAGCAAGAAAACTAATTTATAGGTAAAGAAACAGAGCTTAAAACTAAGAGACTGTGTGTTTTTAAATAACCTAAGTAAAATGCATACTTACTTACCTTTTATTCTCCTGCTGTGTGTGCCCTGAGCTGGTCCAGGGAGTTCTATGAGGTAAGAAATTCCTGCTCAACAAAAGTTCCTTTTCTAAAAAAAGTGAACATAATGGAAACGGGGAACCACTTACCAGGCAGCTGAAAAAGGAGCTGACTGTGCAGAGAATTTCACACCTTATGGCTTTTGGTCAGTAAAGTACATAAACAAAATGTAATTTTCTATGCAATTACACAGGGTCACACAAGAATATTATGTTTTAGAAACCCACTCAAAAGCATATTGCTCTCTAAGAGTCCAATCCGGAAAATGGTTCCTCACTTTAGTAAAGTTGCTCGTAAGCATTTCTGGGAGTGGGGCCTAGGAGACATTTTCCTTTTTATGCTTTCTTAAACAGTTTATGTGATAGTAACAACAGGAAGATAAATTACTTTGAATGGTAGCAATTAGAGAAATAAGGAGTGTGATAGATTTACCATGTGGAAAACATCTCTCACACATTTTCTTACAGTCATTAAACCTACTTTTAATGACACAACACTGATTTCAGAAAGAAACAAAGTTTATTTGATGAATATAAACAAGCTGATCAACACTAAATACTTCCCATACACATGATAACAATGTTATGAACTCTAAATACCTTGGTACTTTACACTTCTACTAGACATTAAATTACAATGACTGTCTAATACATGCCCACTGGTAATTTCTAGGAATTCCTTAGTTTCATATCAATGTCCTTAACCATATATCAATATCACAATCCAGAACATGCCACTCACTTGGAAAAATTATTACAAGAAGCACTATCAAATGAGGATCTAAGGTAAATAGGGAATACTGACCCATTGCTGCAGAACATCACATTCAAACGTCACCCTACACACACAAAAAAAACATTGCAGATATAGTTTGTGTCAACACATCTGAGGTCTTTTCATAAACACTGTTTAAAAAGTAAATTGAAACCCACTTTCAAATGAAAGTCAATGTGCAGGTACGTGCATACTGGATACACAAAATTCATTAAATACAAAATTCATACTGTACATTTAAATGAAAGAAAGAATGTGCAGTACAAGACTGATCTCACAATAAAATAATAATCATTATCTTAAATGTTAACCAAAAGTTGGTTTGCTTCTTTACACTTAGAGGGGGAAAAAAACCTACCAAACGTTGCTCAAATAAAACATTTCCCAACATCACAGTGTTTATTGTAAACCCCGAGATTCTATTTTAGTATATGAAAAGATTTTCTCCAAACATCATAGAGTATCACATGAAATGAAAAGAAAAAAAAAAAAAGAAAGAAAGAATAAAGCAATTTTAGATGAAATTTTCCTCTTTAGGGGCTAACTTGTAGGCCCTGATAAAAGTTTAGATCAACACTCTTACCAACATGAGTGGAGCAAAAATGCCCCTAACATAATATCTGTGACAAAATTGGCACATACATATAAATATCTAACTATACAGCTTTGTATCTGTGACCCTATTTCCCCCTAGTTTATTTCCTACTTCAAGTATTCAGTTGCAGAGTTAAGGTAAAGACCTGATTGTAAGAGACACAGACGATTGTCCCCTACTGCGACAACAAATTTGTCATGAGAAACTAGTTTTGTTGTCTGTTTCCAAGTGCAACATTTGTCATATGTGCTAAATATACTCCCAAAAGCTTTGCTGTTTCAAAAACAAAGATCTAAAATGCCATTGATAGTTAAAGGACAAACGTTTTAAACATGAATGAAATTGGGATTATCTATGCTATACTAATTCTATACATTTTACTCTACTTACTGAAGACAGTAGCATCCAGCAGGACTCCTGCTTGAATAAATTGCTCTTTGATTGCACCAAGAATTATGGTACAAATAAATAAAATATCATCTCTAGACAATTTTAAAGGGATTACTATGTATGGCTCATGTAGGATGTTTAGGGTTAATTGCACCACAGGTTCAAAAAATAATTTTTCTAAATTCAGTGCAAGACTTTAGGAGTATCCATTTAGATTTCTCTTTTTTACAGCAGCAAAGAAAAACTACTAAGGATTAAGGCCACCCATGCTTAAATTTATTGTTTGTCCTTTAAAAATGCAGATATTCTATTCCCGCTCCCATCAGCATGGAAGCAGTTCTTCCATGGACAAAAAGATGACTCAATAAAACAGCCAAACATTTGCACATGTTTGCCAGACTGACTGAAAATGTTCATGGAGTCCTAAGGATCCTCTCCTTGAGAAGTGGTAGAGATTTGACTATCAGTTATATTCTCTCACTGAATGTAACAGCTTCACATTTTTATTTTTCCTTGTATGTGCTTTAAATTTATTTTACTAGATATATTTTGTTGATGCAAACAGCCAAGTGCTGTTTGTTCATTGGTATTTTCTTCTTTAACATCTAAGATTCATTGGGATCCATGTTGGAGACAGTTTTTCAATGTAGAAAATAATAACAAACAGTTCCTCATTTACAGGAGACCTAGTGCATATACTGTATTCACAACAATCTTAATTTTTGTTGGTTTTTTGTTTGTTTTGTTTTTTGTGGTTTTTTTTCTTGATTTTTTTTTTCTCAAAGAGTCCCAGCTTTTATTGTTGAAAACCTGTATGCATTTGGATGGTAAAAGGTTGATACATCCTTGTGTATATGTCCATATATATACATACTTACGTATTTATACATGCCTCAAGCTTTTACCATCCAAGAACAGATAACATCTTGTATATAATCTTATATTTATGCTCAAATTAGATGTCCTATGCATTGTCAGAGACACACACCATATTTTCATAAAGCTAATCTTTATCATCAGTTATTAGTACCAAAAATTGATTTCATTTCCAACCTGGCCCAGAGCTTAATACCGGTTATACTATCAAAGTGTTTTGGTTTTTGTTTTGTTTTTTAATTATTATTATTTTTATCAGTAGATATAAGAAAACAGAGGAGGGTAAAGGCTTGGTTTTATTTTTTGGAAAAGCCCACACCTAACTGGGTATAGGATTAATGCCAACACCCTTATATAACATTTTACTAATACCTCTTTGATAATCTAGTGCAATAGAAGTGATACATTAGAATAGACTAGGTAAAAATCAGCAAATGCAGATACCACATCTAAGAGAATCTGAATTACTTGTTAAAATTAATATCAATTTACCAAGAATTAGTTAAATAACCTGTTTAACTGAACTTCATTAAACAATAATATTCTGAACAGATGGTTTCTTAGTGAAAACAGAATAACTTGCAAGATCCATTAAAGACAGAAATGAAGCTCTTGTAATTTCTACTTGAGTCTCCTTCATTATTTTCCAAAGTATCTAATTTTTTAGTAGACTACAAGAAATAATGGAGAAAATGCCAATTAATGCAGCATTTAATTAGGTATCAACCTTAGCATTCGTTTTCTGCATCTGTGATCTTCTCCAGGATATCATGGTCATGTTTGGAGATCCAGTGCAATAGATTATCATCATTACCTTCCAGCGCTACATTTTTTCTCTTCCTCTTTCACTAGTTCCTCTGACAACTGTAACAAGGAAACAAAATATTCCAATTAATAACATGATCGAAGCATTCAAAACATCCTAGTTCTCATCTAATCAAGCTTGTCATAGACATCCATGGGTATGTTGATTTTCTAGGGACTAAGGATTAAGTAAGGATTTCTATTCTATTTGAACCCACTTAGTATGTCTATGGGGTGGCAATTAGTTTTACAGCTGATTTGTATGACAAGATTCCCCCTAAATCAGAAAATTTAAATTTAAATTTAAATCTGTTCTGATCTATAAGCACAGTAGCTTTGAACTGGAAATGCTATTAATAAAACTAAATATTTTTATTTTGAAACCAGAGAAATCATCTATTTATTTCAAGTCAGTTCTATGGCAGGTGAGAATATGCAGTACCTCTAGCAACTCTCCAAAACCGAAGGTACTGAAAGCAACATTTGATTGTTATATTTTAAGCACTTTAAGTCCACTTTAATTTACAAAACAGTAGAGAAAGATTTTATGGATACAAGAACCTCAGATTTATAAAATTTTAAATATACAACAATCTGTTCTGGGTTTTTCAGCCATGCAGTCACTAATCAATGGTTTGGCTGGAATTGCTGAAATCTAGGGGACTATGAGTGGTAACTGGTGTAAGCCCAAATCAGTCACTGGAAAGAGCCTTCCTGCTTTCCATGGGCTTTGGATGAGGCTCCGTGTCTGATTATAAGTGACAACAGAGTGAGGCCTGAATGATTTTTATTGTCACACTAGTTCTGCTGCAAGCAAAAAGCACAGTATTCTTGAACAGGGAGCAGTGAACCAGCCTTGTTCACATTATCTGTATATCAGATGAGTGGGGGGAATTAAATGATTCCTTTACAGGGCAGTTGTTCATTTATTTTCTGACTTTGTTTCTAGAAAAGTGGGAATGCATTATGTATGGGATTCTCTGTAGTTGCCCTTGCATTTATGTAACTTTAGAAGTTTTCAGAACATCCAATTTTATGAAAAAGCAATTTCCACAGAATGCTTATACTTTTGGTATACAGCTGAAAAATTGTTAAATTTTGTAAATAGAACTAGTTGACTAAAATGCCGCTTTAAATTGTAGAAGCTAATATTTATCAGAGTAATTATGCTGCAAGTGAAGTGAAACACTGCTTACAGAATAAACTTGCAAATGATTTTAAATCCCTATTTTCAAGTTCACGTCTGTGTGGCAAGCACATATAACGGTTTATATAATACAAACTTAGATGAATAATTTTACTTTTCCAATGGGAGGTTGGTACAATTCTTCTGGTTAAAACACTTAGGGACTAATCCAAAGCCCACTGAAATGTGGAAGGGTTCCCACTGATTTTAACAGGTTTTGGATCTGGCCCTTGAGTGGAGAAAAAATGACTTCTGCAGAGCTGGAAAGCCAGGGAGTTCCTAAAGTAGATCATGTTACTAGTTCTGGCACATAAAATCTTTGCAAACTTTTTATGAAAACTGTAAGTCAGAGCATGCATTGCGTTTTGTGAACTGTGCATAGCTCCCATTCTTTTGTGTTCCGAGTATTTCTTAATCATCATTCAAAGAGATATATAGGCATAGGAAGCACCCATATAAATTAACGAGGAGAGTATGTTCCAGAAACTGTAGCACAAAAATGTCCATATTTTTAAACAGGTTTGCTAAAACATAATCATAGCAAATCTTCTATACACTTGATATTTTACAAGCTAAAGTTCCTTTGCAATTAACACTCATTTATGCTCTTAAAAATAAGAAACCAGAATAAAGTGTCTAATCCGAGGAGCAGCAACAAATCACAAAATACAATCTCTCTCCAGCTTGCTCCCCACATTTTCATTGGGGTTTTAGTATAGAATGAAACCCCTGAAAAAACCCCACCCACTTAATCAACCCACCCATTCATCAGGAAACCATACATGTATTGGAAATGTAACAAAAACTGGTTCACCACAGGTAGGAAATGCAAAGTATTTCTCAAGTAAGTCAAGTAAATATATAAAAGGATATTGCTGTCAAATACCAACTGAGGTTGAGTAAATTAAATTTATATTTGTTTCTTCAATGCTGTACTTGGTATAGGTCACTGAACCTCTAAAACAGAAATAAAATTTGGTAACATACATTGGGCCTGAGATTCAGCAGTGCTCCAGCTGAAATGAATGTCTTATGAGTTTGGCACCTCTGACAGTCCATTAGATACCAGTCAATGAAAACAGCAGAAGGATGTGAAGATATAAAAGTGTAGTAGCCCACAAATATTTGTTCAGATTGTTTTTCCTTTGGATAAAGACACCTGCCTGATTACTACTTTTTACCTCCAATCCTTTCCTCTCAGCAGTGATTTGCAGAAACAAGCTGGAGAGGGTGGGTAAACACAAAGGGGTTAAAGGGGAAACTGTTTAATAACAGTAGTAAAATGCAGGCTATTTTTGACATCTGGGTTAATGTCCATTATGCTCCATATGCTTTCCAAATGTTTGCAACAAGCACCCAGATACAAAAACAGATACCCATTCACATAGGCTTAAATGGCCCTCTCCTAACCTGTTACACATGGTACCTACATAAAAGGCCAACAACTGATATGGTAATTAGTGAGTCAGAAAGAGAGGGAATAGCCACTTTATTGCAGGGAATTGGTATCTGACCAAATGTTAGTAGAGAAGGATATCATTAATGAAAACCTGCTAGGGCTATTTCTGCTCCTTAATCTATGACAAGGCATCTGCATTATAACGTGACATCTTTTAAAAAGCTGTCAGGACAAATTCCTCAGTTTCCTTCTCTAGACTCGTTCATCATTACCGCGTTCAGCGTACCAACAAACCATGGGAAATTATTTCATTTTCTGAAAACAAGTAACTAGACTGAAAAGTAGTATTTAAAAAATAAGGCTATAACTCATAAAGTCTTTCTCAAGTGACCTCCTGGAACTCAGCTGTGCCTCTTGCAACAACAAACTCTAAATGACAGGAAGAAAAAAAAATGCATTCTAAATTTTTACTTTTGTCTGTGCAAAACCATGAAAAGAATGACACAATTAACTAAGACAAAGCCCTGGCATGGTACTGTTCTGAATTCTGTCCCTGCCACTAGCTTATTGTGTGACTAAGGAAAAAGTTGTATCATTTTTCTGTGCCTAACTTGCTTTTGCTATAGCAGGGATAACATCAGGCTCCTCACAGGAATTTGCAAGGCTTAATGTTTGTAATGTGCCTTAATAGTCTTGGATGAGTGCTAAGTATTATTATTTTTCAGTTCCTGCATTTGATTAAAACTGAAATAACACAGTAAAAATTAAATTAATATATTAAGTTACAAGTAAAGAGCAAGCATGTGGTTTGTGGAGCTACTTGTAACACTTTTAATACGAACATGTATTACAGACTAGGTGATTCCCATGGTTTGTAATGACATGTACCATGTGGGCATAACTTAACGACTGCAGAATCCCCCCAGATGTTTGATTCAGCCAAAAATCTGTTCGTGGCTTCTGTGCAAGCCCAGAGCTCGGACCAGTGGGAGCACTGTGGGCTGCTTTTCCCCTGCCCCTGAAGTGCCATTGCAAATATGATCACAGCCCAGATATTTGCAACTCAGCACAAGACACAATATTACGTAGCACAGATCAGCTGGAGTGCTCGCCACCATATAGCTCCCTTAATATAGGATAGGAAAATGGCATGATATGTACTATTTGAACTTCCCTGTCATTACAGTCCCAACAATAAATACTGGTTTTGCTACTTCCTCCTGGCCTAACTCTCATGGAAAGAATGAAAACCCACCTCTCACTTTCCAAAGAATACAGTAACCTGTTAAAGCCTGTTACATGGATGTGAAAATCTCTAGCGAGGAGGGCTGAGAAATAATTAAGACATAAAGTTGTATCCAACCTATGTAGAAAACTTTCAATGCTGAGATGCCAAAGACACCTAAGACACTTGTTGAGCTGAGTGAAAAGGTAAAATCTAGTTTAAATTTATAGCATTCCTTCAGTGTCCCTCTAGGAGTTTGGCTTTTTGCCAGTGTTCCTTGTTAAAAATTTGTTAAACGTGTTTGGCATTAATGCAAACACAAAGTGCTCATTTGTTACAAATTCTATTGGAATGCATTCATTTAAGGCAATGAAGTAGTTACCAGAAAAGAAAAAATGTTCATTAAGTACATTTTAAAAATACAATGATGTATGCGGTGCATAACTATGGCGCCCCAGTGGCTATATAAATATCTGACAGAATAACCACAAGTTGTGTTTGGTTTGAAATTGGAATCTTTTAAACATAACCGATAGAACAAAAACTGGTTTTGTTTGTTGTCAAAACTGATGTTAGTCTTTCTTGTTTAGAACTAGTTAAAATAACCAATGTTTTGGCATACAATTTCTTACATCTCAAATCAATAAAGCCCACAGGTTAAAGTAATGCTAAAGGAAGTTTCTCGATTTGAACGGTAAGTGCAGCACTGCACATTATCTGGAGAACACTGAACACAGAAAGTAAACACCCTGCTTCGAGGAGAACAAATTTTAGTCATTCTTAAAAACTCCACTTAAGGAAATGTTACCTGGGAGATCTGCAACTGTCTGACAACATTCAGGTATGCCTAGGCAAAGGTCTCCTGCTCTACTCTTAACGCACTAATCCTTTCAGAAATAAATAGCTGAAAACTAGTTTACAAAATCCTAATAACAAATCTCTCTCTTATAATAACAACATGAAATATCCCTGATAATGATAATTCGATTTTGAATAAGCAATTCTGAGGTGTATTTCTTAGAGGCTAGAAAATAACACCTTATCTACATTTTAAAAGTAGAACCATCTTTGTTTTTACTTTTTCAATGATTTACAGTTTCTTACAATAAAGCTTAAAGATGGTAAATACATGATTAAAATACATTTTAAAAGAAAGATCCAGAAACTGTGTAATTTAATTAAATATTGAAAGGTTTGCAAGAAATGTCAGTATAAAAAGTTATTTATAAAGACAAAATTAACTTTGTTCC